TATTGTACCCGGACACACCTGCTCATCCCTTTGTGCAGGAGGTTGGCATTCGGTCTTATACAAAATAATTGTGAAACTAAAGCTGCTGTCTAAAAGTGAGATGATCAGTGAATCTTCCATTTGCATAACAGTGTGGGACTGTTGCAGGTAGAATGATTTCTCATTGACAAAAAACAGAATAAATACTTCTCTGTCAAACCTTTCATTAGCACAGCAAACAAAATGACAGAAAAGTGAGAATCAGTGCAGAATCTTTTGTAACAATACATTTTCCATTACTTCAGCTGTCATCTAGACAGGACTATGCAATAGAAAGCTTGATTGGGAATTCAAAGTTTAACCCAAGTCTTCTCTCACAACCTAGTGAGTTAGAAAAATAAAAAACCAAACCAAGACACAAAAGCTTTAATTAGATAAATTAATGTCACATATGATTACGATTTTGCTGCAACATTTTCCCTGAAACTGGTTGATGCAACCAGTAAAATCCCACTATGTAAGGGACTTCTGAATTGATGAGACATGTCTGGGTCCTTCCAAGGCTTTTGACTACACAATACATTGTCATTCTTCTTGCAGCTACTGTCAAGTTTACCCAGAAGGAATGAACAGATCAAATAATTTAACGGAAATTAGATGGTCCAATAAAGCAGAAAGAGGGTTTTTGTTTTCCTGTCAAGAACAGATAATATATTTCCTGAAGAGAAAACCCTTTCCACTGGATTCTCTATGCCAGCTTGCTATTTCTCCCTGTGAAGCAGTCAATTAGTCATAAACAGTTTATGTTTGAGCATCCAGGAACTCAAACGCAGAGATCAAAATGATGAAAGATCCATCTGTTGTCCTGAAGATAAATCTAACCAAGCTGGACCACTGAAAGAGCATGCTCATTACATTCAAGACTCAAACCCGCCTGGGTCCATATTGTTGCTATTACCAGAACCACACACAGACCTTCTCTGAGTTTTGTCATGATCCTTTAGCCATATGGATATGCAGAATGTGCATCAGAACAGTAATGAAATATATGAATGAGTAATTCAGAATGGACCTCTGGCTCTTACTGACCCTACAGCAATTACTGAAATTGGTATAGTAGTTTATAAATAATAAACTGTTTTGGGAAGTCCCCATTTCAGGAAAACACCCAAAGGCTTTCGATCTGAGGATTAGATTCGGCTTTGGAGAATGGTTTCAAACAGATTTCTGCTGTCACAAACATCTAGCAAACTGTGGAGACCAGAAAAGTTAAAACTTCATGTTATACTACAGTCCTCAACAAATCAGATCCAGAATTCCTACATAAAATGACATAAAGGCTTTCATTAGCAGTATTTACTGCTGTACTGTTGTCAGAATCGTGATGGCCCTAACCAGGGAGATGAAAACTTTTGCTTTGATAATCTGTGGTCCCAAAACGTTCAGATGCAGGTCAGTCCACAAGGATCCCATTTCACTGTCCTTCCTTAGACTTTCAGCTCACTCTCATAAAGTCCTTAACCTTCAATGGATGCAGACATAATCCTGAGAGTTTTGCTCTAATTGTTTGTCGATAAACACACACCAAACCAGAACTATGTACAAGGCCTTCTGGAGAATATGAGAAGCCAGATCATGGTGTTTGAAAACTAAGTATACTTCAACCACATCTTTAACAGTTAAAATGAAATTCCAGTATAATGTACAATATATATGCACTCTAGTTATTTGAGGTAAGGATGTTCACTGGAGCAGTGCCAGAGTCAATATATGGTGCCAATCCTAATCTGGAGTCTCTGCTGAAGAAAACATTGTTCCTGAATTTAAAATTCTCAAAAATTGAGAGAACAGAACTGAGACTCATCCCAGCATCTTCTTATAAGTGTTGACTTCCTAGGAACCACTGACCACAAAGATGAATGTTTCAAGTGTATAAATGTTTTAGTTAGAGCTTTGCAAGTTATTCACCATGGAGTTGATGTTTTATCTCTAAAGGTAAGCGAAACTTACCAGGAGATGCCATGTCTGATACTGCAGATCCCAACCACTATATATGTACTTCAGATGCACTTACATACAGGAATGGCAAAGGAGGAAATTTTGAGACTAAGGCACAAATTACTGCACATATTCAAAATAAAGGATTATTGTTTTAGCTTTCTTTTCTTCAAGGAACAACACAGCAAGGGGTAGGGATACCTTTCCACCTTTCAACTTTTCTTTCTTTATCTAGGAAAGATGTATTTGGACCTTTTTCTCACCCAGTCCTGGAAGAACGCCTTACAATGACTTCTGCAATACCACAAGGCATTTCTATACTAGCAGTGCAGCTGGGATCAGGAGTTCTGCAGAACTCTCCACTGTCCCCACCTACTGCACTTCAGCTGACATGGCAGAGAAGTCTCCAGGAATATGATCTGGATAAAAAAGAACACGAAAATGCATTTCAGGAGTGCATCTACTGCACTCCAGGTGTAAACAACCAGTAAATCCCCAGCACACTGGACTAGTTAGTGTGAAACAAATAATTCTGAAATATATAGCATCGTCTTCTCCAACAACGGTTCTCTAAACAGCTGCTCTAACTCATCTGCACTACTTCATTAATGTAGACACCATCACAGAACACCACATAGAATGGGTGCTTACAAAAACGTTCCAAAGAGGAAACAGGGAGGCAGAAGAAGAGTGAAGAGATCAGAGTGGCTTGGAATCAAAAAAGTTTTACTGCTAGTACTGAGCACGCATTGCCTCAAGCTCAGCTTCTTCCTGCCAAACTCTTCCCAGACACCAAGTGAAGGCTCAAGAAATGCAAAGAGGCAGCCAGGCTAGGTTCAGCTAAACAACATGAGTGCCAAGATAGCCATGCTCCAAGAAAACTGAAATAGGCAACAGATATATGCACATCTACGTTTGTTGCCTCATCCCAGGGGACTCTAAAGATCATGGATGTTAATGGAACTGGGACTATTTCACTGGGCAGATACAGCTTTTATTTTGAGAATTCCTCCACAGGAGTAACTAAAATAAAAAGCTAAGTCAACAATCAGTAGGTGAACATACTCATTTTACATGAGTTTAACTTTCCTGAAGCTGAAAAAAACCAAACGGGTATATTTCCTTACTTGAAGGAAATAAGTCAGGCAAGTAAGGTTTGTTAGACAGGATAAAGGGAAGGGAAACACCCCACTATATTACTGAATTAAAAAGAGACAAATTAGTGAATTTGTTTGAAACACTGCTAAATACATGATGCACTAAACTCCTACCTCAAAGAAAAGGATCTTTTGAAGTTTTTCTTCCTGCTTCATCTACATGGTTTTCTGAAAAAATCTAACAGTTTTGGAAAGATTGCTCAGAATAGTTTGAGTAACAAACCAGAATTGCCTGTTGACGTCAACCCCTCCCATGAATGCTCCTATTTCCTTTCCACTGCAAAGAAGGTGCATTGAATGGCAACCCTATGTGTTAGGTGATTTGGGTATCAGAAGTGCAAAAAATGAAACTATGATTTGTCTCTTGAATATATGCTCCTATCTTTGCTAGTGAAAAAGAGGTAGAGGTAAACCTAGGTGAAGATTTTCAGTGTCTTCATGAGCCCTGTCTTAGCTTCTCTTAAGGAAGATATTGTGGGAACTTTGCAGAAATCAATCCATATTAAACAGTGCCACTGCAAATACTTTATGCCAAGTCAGTAAGCAGCAGTAACTGTGTGCCTTAATTTTTTGTCTTAGTTTCCATGCAGACAATGAAGTTGTTAAACACTGACACAAATTTTTCGAACTACCTAAATATGCACAACTATAACTGTGCCCTTTCCTAATTTGCTTACTTAAAACCAGGGATAATTTTTGAATATACTTATTCTTTCCAAAGGACATTACCTTGGACTTGTCTATACTGAGTTTGATTTCTGATCATTCTGTCTCCATCCACTCTGCTTCTCTAGTCTTGACTAACTCTAGAAAATCTGTCATCATCAAGTTCTTCAATGGCAGTTCTCTTCAGATCCCTAACAAATAAATACAGGTCTCAGCACAGATCCAGAGGTGCTCAGTTCTCAGCTTCATGTTTTGGAAAAGTAAATTCTTTCTGAATGAAGTCACTATAATTAACTAAATAGTGTTTTTTTTTAAAAGCAAGCAAGCAAACAAACAAACAACTGCACTATGTAGAAACACCCTCCCTCCTCCAGTTTTACTAACGCAGTCATGTAAGACTGCAATCCTTCATGACAAATGCCACAGGCATATAATGGTTATGAACTGCCAGAGTACAGGATTAACTCAATTTACATTACAGTACAGCAATTTCAAACACAGCACCATGAACAGTAATGATACAGCTAAATATGCTGGCACAGGACCAGGAGGGCTTTAATTACCTTTTAACATGTATTACTACCGCCTCTTCAGAATATGGTGTCTCCTTTTGGCAATTCCCCTTTGCCACACATTCCCTGACAAATGCCATGGTCCACAGGTCTCAGTCTGTGGGTAGTGCAGGCTAATACCATTCTCCCATCACCAGGTTTTCCTGAGGCTCAGTAGTGAAGAGTTCATAAAGATCTACTGAACTCGCTTCTGGCTCTGACTTTGGCACAATTTTCTGAACAAGTAATTTTGCCAGCTTTACAGAAAGTTCTCTGATTCTCAACTTAAAATTTCTTTGACTCAGGATTACATCTTCTTCCCTACACCTTTTCTAAAGCAATCCTACAACTTGATGCTGAACTGAAAATCCTGGAGCTCCCTGCTAAACAGAACAGCAGGCAGAATAGGAGCAGCTGAAGCACACCATTTTTCACTGAAGTACTTTAGACCTGACCAGCAGGATGATACATGTGGCAGAAGTGAAATTCAAGAAAGTCCACTTTCCGGATTCTTTGGAGTGACTATCAAAAGAAGTCATCAAGCACAGTATCCAGTGAGTTTTAGAGAGACACACTGGCTCACTTCGCACAACTACGTGGATAAAAAAGTCACACTGAATTTGAAGACATGATAGTGAGAAGCAATAAATTCTCTCTTCATCACCCTGAGCATTTATTTGTAAGTCTCTGCTTTTATTCTGGTTATCCAAAACATGTTCAACCACCATATCAAAGCTGAATAACCCCCAATGGGATGAACTGTCCATCTGTAACAAGATTACATACACAGCTAAGTATGTTCTTGAAAGGATTACAAATCTTTCTGGTAGATTCTGATCACCTTGCCTAAACTTCAGCTTCTTGCAGCGGTCAATGGAAAAATCAAAAAACTCCATAGAGGCAACCTTATATTCTGCTTTTGCTCAATTTCCTTGAACTGTGATTGTTTCTGCCCTCCCTCTTTGACTATCCAGACAAGCTTAATTATGGTCCCACTGGTAATATGCACATTTTTTAATGCTATCACCTTCAATGTTCTTCAATCTACTTGGATCTTCCAGGGAAAAAAGCTTTTGTTTCAAACCAAAATGATTAATAATTAATAAGTGATTTTATTACAAATAACAAAATGTCTGTCCCATGATACAAAAGTCCTTGCAACTACTCAGTAGCTTCTATCGAAATCCCACCAGTCTTCTTATTTCTTGATAGATGGGGGCAGCCAGTTCTTTGGCTTTCTCTGCTCCATCCTCTAAAACCTTTATCAGATGGGGCTTGTCTTCCTGGAGTTTCTTGATTTCATTCCTGATAGGTGCAAATTTTTGAATAACTGACTCTGCCACCACCATTTTGTAGTGAGCAGTGTCGAGACCAGTGGCTTGGTGCAGCACTTCCTTGATGCTGAGCCCTGTTACTGCAGCATGAATGGACACCAGATTGGAGACACCAGGGCGAGCAGCTGGGTCATAGGTCACCTCAGAGGTAAAGTCAGTCACAGCTTTGCGAAACTTCAGCACTATTTCATCAGGGCTGTCTGCTATGTTAACAGTAGCTAACTTCTGTGGGTCTGACTTGGACATCTTCACTGCTGGATCTCTGAGGGATTTTATTTTCTTTGTTGTACCTTAAAAAAGAAAAAAAAAAGGAGTAATTATGAATGCAGACAATGGTTTCTTATGAAATTTGCTAAGAACACAGGATGAAGCTGTTTATCCTTGCTCAAAAATGAGTTGTGAGCACAATCACTCATGCACTATTTAGTCCTTATGCCCTCTCCGTTCTTCTAAAAAGCCACCTTTCTCCTCCCATAAACTGTCTGAAACCTGCTCAGTCTCTCCCACCCTCACTAAGCAGAATCTTCTGCTGGGACTCCTTCTAATACTTTCTGTGGCTAACATGCTGATTTCTCCCCAGAATTTCTCCTCCCTTATATTACTGACACTGGGAACAAGTTACCCGAAGAGTATGGACTTCACTGAAAGGTTCTGAGCAGTGGAGAAACAGGTTAAATCCACTGGTAAAAAAAGAATCCCAGAAGAGTTCATCTCCTTACTTCAAGAAACTCTTCCACCCATAATCTCCTGGTAATTCTCCTAAATCTCAATAAAGACAGCTATTAAAATTCTCTAACTGAATAATAACCAGCTCTGTTAGAGGTAAAGCACTGCTCAGATAAGAAAAGTGTGGGTACTGTACAAATTGCTAAGATATATGCATGTACATTAAATAGAATAGTAGCATTAGGGGAATATTGCAAAGTACTTTAACAGCATACACCCAAACACCAAGAAACATAATTCATGGAGGTCATAAAGTATGACTGATCTCGAGAGTATTCACACCAATTGGTTTTAGACATCTTATACAGCCAAATAATTTACCTGCATACTCCTCATAGATGGTCTATGTACTCAGTGAAATGATAAAGGTTTTTCCAACATAAATTCAGACTGCCCCAGAAAGTGCTCTGTTCTGAATCACCTTTTGGAAGTCTGTCTCTTTTCTCTAAATCTGAATGAGTCCAGGTATTTGCATTGCCTACAGCTAGTGAGTCTGAATAGTTCCCTAACTTCCTCATTCATCTAGGATATTTTGTTGGTTTGCATATACTTGTGAACTTATGAAGGAATGCTTTTCATGAGCAAGGTGAAATGTTCTTGTTGTTTTTTAAAAATTGAGCTTTTAATTTACTGATAATTAGTCTCACCTGCATCACAGGCTACACTCAGCTCTTCTTTATAGTACTTAGTATACAATTGCTCATTAGAAACTGCAGTTTGCAATACCTAGTATTCTCTAAGCTCCACTTTAGGTCTAATACCATTTTTGTCACTGAGGCTTGAAAATTGAGAAAGGTTTATTACTGCCTGTCTTTTCTAAGGTGAGAGCTCCTTGCCCTTTTGGGGGCGAAGGTCTCTGCTGTGCATTCCTCTACATTACTTACAACAAAGATGCAATGCTTCTTCCTTGCCCAATTCTTCACGTTTCTTAACAAACATGCCATTTGTGCCATCTGACTCCTCCTCACCCCCCGGCCTATGACCTTATAGCTCAAAAATGGCTGAGAAGATTTTCCTTATAAGTCTCCCTGAGTGTAAGATCAAAACTGGAAAGTCTTAAGCTCTGTAAGAGAGATAAGCTCTGTACTGAGATAAGCAAGTATATATTAAACACCCTTAAAAATTTTTGAGCACTGTATCAATAAATCTACAGGCTGTTTAGTATGCTTAATGTAAATATCTACCACTTGGACCTTGAGAATTCTGCTTTCTAGAGGTCTTGTTGCTTACCTGTCCCCTGAACTAGCAACATTGAGCAGAGACCCTACCCTTACGAAGTCCAACCCTCGAAGAGCAAGGCTGACTGGCAGCAGCAGAGTGCATCTGGCCCCCTGGACTAGAATACCAGACGTCACATACATTCCTCTACCAGGGATTTGTAAAGCCTTATGCCTATCTTGGGAGTTCAATTTCACAGGCTCTAGTCTCTCGTTGTCAGTTTTTAATTTTCCACTCCCTTAGCATCATTTGTACCCTTTTCTTGGTCCCTGAAACTATTTCCACAATATTTAAATCCATCTTCAACCTTAAAAGTGCAGTTAAGGGAAAAAAAAAAGCCAAGACCAGCTCACTTAAAATGGCTTTGGGCACAGGAAAAAATTCTCCATATTTCTTGTTGAAATGTTGTGCTATATCTTGGGCTAGTTCCAGGTGCAGGACTTGATCTTCTCCAACAGGAACATGTGTTGACCTTTTAATAAAAGACAGATACAGGAAACTCAGCAAAGCTCTTTGGTTCTGCCGAAATGTTACTCAAGACTGTCACATGACTGAGGGCCAGACTGAGCCAAACACTCAGTCCCAGCTAGATATAGGTGCTGTGGGAACAAGGTCCAAAACTGACCATATCCCAGAATGAGTCTGCATTTTGTGCTGAACTGAAGCACATCTCCAAGGGCAAAAATAGCCCCTCACGAAAACATACATGGCAAAGAAACCTGTAAGAGCAACTCACTAAACTCAGCTCAAAGTTCTGTATCTCCTGCTGTCTCTTTGGAGATCAAAGAGCACGTGTTATAAGTGTGCAAACAAAGCAAGAAAGGTCTGCAAGGTGTAAAGTGCAAGCACATTGTCATGTCAAATTTCAGGAAAACATAGCTGCTGTTGAGAAGTTAGTACTGAGGATATACTAAGGGAAGGAAAGAAGAGAGTGGTTCTTCCTCACGGGTCACCACTGAATAAATATCAAGTGGGTCATTGCCTCCATTGTCACAAGTGTTATCATTAGAAGATTAGAACTGTCAGATTCAAAGGATCATCTGATCTTCTGTATTGAACTCAATGGCTTGAATACACTTCTGGAGGAAAACACAATCTGCATCAGAGGACACGAGGAGGTGAAGAATTCATTACTTCCCCTGGCGATTCTTTCCCACAGTTAATCATACTTGCTAAAAATGTACGATTCTTTTAGATGAGGCAGATTTGAAATCATGCCAGCTTTTGATTACTCTCCCATCCCCCAGCAGATTTTTTTTTTCCTGAGGCTTGTGGGGTATTCAGAATCCTGGATATGTTCCAGAGTACGCAAGTTCACTATGCATCTTTTAAGTTCCCAGAAAATTTCAGTTCAACACGGTACTCTTTCCTTCCGATTCTGAATTACTGGGTTGACATCCAACAATCAATTTGTCCACCTTTATTCCCCACCAAACAGTCAGTAAGGCAACCTAAAAACAGTTACAGTAGCCAATAGAAAATCACAGTGGTCTATAACTAACATAGAGAAAATCAGTTATCATAATCAATATACTTTAAGCAGGAGAAAAAGAAATGTTTCCGTATGCCAGAATGGTTCCATATTCACAAAGTTTGCCATGAAAGAGAAAACATATTATCTCTTTAAATACCTCTGCCTTTTTCCTTGATTTTTTTAAAAATACCTTTGTTTTGGTGCTATTTTAACTCCTTTCTGTAATTTTCTGTTTGATCCCTGGTTCATCTGAGTTAGTACTGTTTCTCACCCTCCTCTAGCTCTAAATTCTTCTTCATGGGTGCCATTTCCTTCCTGTATTTCCAGTTCTCCCTAATTCTTGTTCCTTACAGTATTTTTTTTACATTACAACATTTATTATTAAATATGTCAAATTTTTTCAGAGATTTTTTTTCTTTCACTTCTTGTTTTGTGCTCTGTGTGAACAGCCTGCTGCTAATATAATAGCAAACAAGCCACTGGTTTTACTAATGAAATACGAATTACATGATCTGACTAGAGATGGAAGAGACATACATAGTTGAGCTCAATCAAAACAAGGTGATTTCTGATGAAGTTCTCTAAATTTCACCCTTAAATACTGCTTGACAATCAAATGTGACTCACTGCTAAGAAGACCATTATAATAATCCGATTCTTTCTTTTGCTTGCTTCCCATTAGTTTTAGTTAAAATTCAGGTGAGTTAGAAATACCATCTACTGGTCTTCTAACAGTACTGTTTTCCCCTACTATGATTACTTACAATGAAATTTCTCTAGATACATTTTTCTGAATTAACAACTGGCTACTCTTGGTTACTCTGTCACAACATCCCCATCCTCACAGTTCTGTACTACTATTCTGTCCCGACAAATACTCTCACCATCCCTTCAGAACAATGCCACAAAGTACATATGCTCAGAACATAAAAATAATACATAGTGCATTGTCTTTAACATTTACTAATTGAGACAGTTTAAATCATATTATGAAATACAACCAGTCACAACAATTCTTATCAGCTAGGCTACAGGCTTGGGCACGCTGAGAAATCATCAGTCTCTCATTAGTGGCTATTACCATTGCAGCACATAGTACACTACAGAGAAAACTGAACTAGTCCAGATCCTACAAGGTGCAGTCACCTTTTCTCATCAATATGAATTGGGCTACACTAATCCCACACTAATACTGGTATATTACATACAGACAGTTTAAGTATCTCTACAGTACACTGCATAAAATTAAGCATAACTACTTAAAAAAATGTGTATGTGTGTGAACAATTAATATGTACAATTAAACATCAATCTGCTGTAATTCCTGAAGAATTATTCTCAAGTGATCAGCTTTTTCTCTTTACAGCCCTATCAATTGCTTTTTAGCCAGGCTAGATTTCAACCAGCCACTTGAGAGTCTGTCATCCATTTCCAATCTTCTGATCTAATCACACCCAGCTCCCCCACTTAATAAGTTAGCACGTTGACCTGACGAACATTCATTCTAATGTAGCTGAACAGACATTGCCCAAGGGCTCACATTCTGCCTCTTACTTGTACAGCAAAATATCTGCTGCTTGAAGCACAGGGTAAGTCAACAAACCAACAGTTCCTTCGCTATTCTGGCTGGCACGCTTCATCTGTTTGAAAAAGAAAAACGGAGAGGAATCACACTTTCGCCTAATGGTATCAAAATCTGCGATATTAGTTAATCAGAATTCTGACTTACTGAGTAACTTATTGCATAACTCTAGAGAAGAGAGTGTCATGTAAAATCCGTTCCTTATGAATACATATGTTCTATGTCCTGTATTTATGAATTTCCCTACACTGTTTTGATATTCTAGTGGGAAGAAAACAGAGCCTTGTGTTTTCTGTTTGTAACCTTATTAATAAAAATTATTTCAAATTCAAAACAATCAGGCTGGGTTATTACAGTTAGTATCAATAAACCCTACTTTTAAAATAGCATTTTCAGAAATAAATTTTTAAACACTTTACAATAGAGATATAAAGAGTATATAGTACCTGTGTTTCACAGAAAAGAAATTAAGACAGTGAGCACACAGTCACAAGGACAGTCAGTGACAGCTAGGAGAACCCATAACTACAGAGGCGGAATCCAGCGTTCTCTCCATTAGTTCACGCTGCTCCCCACAATCCACCTAATGTCTTCAAGCCCTTTACTGCTCTACAATATGGATCATTTAAATCAAAATGGTCAGGCTACAGATACTAATTATGTATTAGCAATGGCATATCTACATTTGGCTTTTAGCAATAGTTAAATATACTAAACCCCTTGAAATCTTAATTATTTCATTAAGACTGTTGAAATATATTCAAATTTTTCCCACCCTCTCCCACAGATCCTATATTCTATCTACATCTCTAAGTGCCTAGGGTTCAGGGAACTTAATTTGCAAAGCCTAGCACCTGTAACACCTATCTGAAGATTTGGAAAGTCAATCCAGTCAAAGTTGGACTTAAGAGCTTAACTTTAGAACCTCAGGTTTGAAAAGGTTTGCTTTAATCTAGGACATGCATTAATGCTGGTTGCTGTATTTAAGTTTTACTGGTTTTATTTAATTAAGAAGAAAAACAGGAAAAAAGAAAACATCTGGAGGTATTTAAGGCTGCTCTGAACTCTACAAGCCAAACTGCTCTTAAACTGCTGTTTTTTTTTTTTTTTCTTTTTCGGATACTTCTCTCTCCTTTTGCTTTTTCTGCTTACTAAATGCCAAAATAAAATACAAGGAAATTAAATGAAAGAACTGTTAATGCCATCATGCTGATGCAGTACCAAGATTAAGATAATGAACATTTGAAACTTGTAAAGGCAAACATTTAAGATAGATTATCACTCAGCACATTTTTTATATTTATAATTTCTATACTCCTCTTCCAACATTACTCTTTTGAAGACTCTTCCATAAAATCTACAGAACAGCCACTCTTTATAGTGGAAAAAGAAAAGCTGTTTATGGAATTCCTTAATTGTCAAGGCTCAAGGTTTCCATTGCAATATCTTGCAGTAGTTTTACATTATTAAATAGGCATTGAAATTATTGAAATAACACCAAATATTCTAGCAAAATCAGTTCAACGACACTAAACCAACCTCATATTTAGTACTGTTTCTGCAAGACTCTGCCAATAATATTATTTTGTAGCTTCCAGCAGGAAAACATTCATTGAGAGCAACAGACCTAGAAAGACACTTTTCCCCCCCTTCCACCACAGGACTATAGAACTACTTAAACTGAAAGCAGGGATAACCAAGATACAGTTGGGACTTCATAGATAACAAGTATTTCAAGGACAACAATTCTACTGAACTTCCACATATTTCCTTCCAATCTACAAAACTGTTCATACCTTCCACTGGGGCAAACGTAGCAGACGTGGCACATTAGTTAAGCACCCAAGAATCCAGGCAAGTTCTGCATGCTCAGGAACCTGAAAGTATGAAGCCAGAATCTATTTTAATCTCCTTTATTTATATGCACATTTTCTCAAAATCAATAAAGATAAAAAGTATCAGAAAACCATTTTTTAATATTATTTTTTCAGGAAGGTCAAGTGACAAGCTAATGGGAAGTTTTGGACACTTCCAGGATTGAATATCCTACACTCAGGTACCATTCTTGATCCTATCCACTCATATTCTAAATAAGAAAGAAAATGCTTTAGCAAGAGCAGAGTTGAACGCACATGTAAATTAATCAACTGTCTGTCACTGTGCCACAGCCTCTCCACTCTCTTAGGTAATACATTAATAGTGACAAAACTTCTTCACTTTTCTCATTTCCAGTGCCAATAAGTTACCCAATCTTCACTTCTTCTGCATCAAGGCCCCAAGTGCACTGGTTTCCCTTAATTGTCCTCCCCAGCCTCACCTGAACCCTTCAGCCATCCCCTCTGCCCATAGTTTCAGGAGCCCTATTTTAAGCTCAAGCCAGACTGCCCCCAGTTCTTGCTTGAGCCATATTGCACTGCAGCATGTCTGGCAATAAACTAACTGCAGGCCCTTCACAGAAGCCTGAGCTAACTACCAGGGAAAAAGAAGAGCTGGGCTGCTCCACAAAGCCATGTCTGCAAAGAGACAGGAGCAAGGCAGGAACAGTTATCTCCCTGACCAGGACAACACACTGATAGGGCAAGGGTGGTGGCAGTGACAGTCTGGTGATCAGCAGACACAGAAAGGTAATTAGTCACACCTGAGGACAATCCAGGGAACCCAGGGAGAAAACCGAGGCACCAGGTACAGGATGAGCACAGGGACACCATGATGTACCTCAGGTGAAGACAAAGGACCTGAGCTTAAATGGAGCTCTGGGGAACAGGGCAAAAAGTACATGGGTGGAGGGTCCAGGTGAGACTTGTCAGGGCTTTGTGTGCACAGAAAGGTCTTAATGACCCTAACCTGTCTGCAAAACAGGGATAATAGCAGAAGTCAAACTACAGGACAGCCTGAATTGAGGCTTAATTTGTCCCTCAGTTCTGCAATCCTATTAAAACTAATACTGATCTGCAAGTGAAAGAGGAGGATCAGGCCTCCACATACGCTTTGCTACAAGGGTGGTTTAAAAAAGATAAGAAAAGATCCCACTTAAGCTCATGCAACAAATTTTTCATTTAACATTCAGGGGAAACTGTGGTGATAGTGAAATTTTAATAGTTTCAGAAAAACATTAGACAGAGTGATTGCCCCCCTTCTGCTAAGAGAAAGATCTTCTACAGGCTGAGACAAGAAATGTGCTGTGTCAACAACCTCTGTTGGATGAATCCATGTTTAGCTTCTTTACATACACTCTTCAGCTTTTGCATTTCAAATATTCATTTCTGGATTAGTAAAAGAGGCAAGTATTGCTGATGCATATTCTTTAACTTCTTTCCTGTCATTCTGTCTGTTGTTAGTTAGCTATATAGACAATAATCATCAAAAGAAAAAAGTGACCTATGTTCTGCTCCTTTGCTTACATGTTTGATTCACTCTTTTCAATATTGGCAGGTTTGAACGTTTAAGAGCATGCTAACTGCCTCAGGGATGTCCAAAGCTTCGTGCTTGCAATGTGATATAACAACCCAGATGGAAGGCAGTAAAAAGTGTTTGTTAGCAAGTAAGAATTACTAGCATTATTAATTGCAATTTATTTGTTGTCATATTTTAAATATAGTAATTTCCTAGCTAGCAGTCACTGGACTATTTTGGTCACCAATGTTGTGTAGAGGTATCTGACCTCAAGAAAACAACTCAGTGGTTAGAGATGTGAAACATTTATGGTTGATTCTCTTTCCCTTCTTTCTGCCTTTCCCACAGTTTTATTTTTTGTAATTCCCTCATGCTTATTTGACCTGCAATCTTCTGTGCACAAGACAAAGTGCAGTAAGATGCACCAAATATATCCTCTGCAAGGTACAAAGAGTAAACTGAACTTTATAGAAAATACTACGGTCAAGACTCCTACTTCATTTAGAAGGAATCACCATCTGGTTCAAAGCAGTTTCTCATTTCTTTCTTCTAGTCATGGATAGAGAGGAGATGGTGCTCTGTTGCACTTGTGTTGACAAGGACTCTCTTCAAAAGCTATGCAGTCATTGATTCAGCTCTGTAAGACTTTGCTTCCACAGCCAAGACTGCACGTGAGTTTCAGTGGATCAGCGGATTTGATATTACATCAGTTACCAAAACACCAAGTGATCTAAACAGCATTTGTTGAGTCGAATACACAGTTCTGGGTCCTACCAAGTTATACTCATTTCTAATCCTCAAACACACACAGTCTTTTCCTAAGTAAGACTAAAGCATTAATACCGTGAGGGAAAAGCCTGATAAAAGGGGGAGAAAATACATAAAAGTGCACTGAAGGGTAGTGATTCCAGTTGGAAAAAAATTCAGTACTGGAACCTAATGAGTTAACATTCATCATCCAAATTGCAGTAAGTGACTGTATGTTGGTGTGTGAATCAGGAGGTACTAGGATTAAACCACAAATCATTTGTCAGACTAAATCACAGTTTAAGCTACTGTGTTTTACTTGGCAAGAGGGGCAGGTAATTGCTGCATTTGGTTGGTCACCTTGCATCAGCTCAAATGTTACTCATTTAGCTACAGTATTCCATCACTTGGAATAAATTGGATAAATCTGGATACAAAGAAACTGGAAGACATGAAGATGTAGATGACACCAGTAAAATAAAGGCTCAATCTACTCTTCCTTTCACTGAGCAATACCAATGGATCGCGATAGGAAGAAGCCATTCTCTCAGACAAACTTGATCAGCTTCTTGCCGCAAGTCCATTTAAAACTCTGAGCAAACATCTTCATTAAACAACTAAAACATAAAAATGTAAGAAGTAAAACTGTACAACAAAGCACAACAGAGGTAGCTGTAGCCTAGTGCTCTGTTTCCAGGAGTAGCAACAAGAGATGGCATTTAGGTCGAACACATGAGCCTACTGCTTCCTACAGTATCTTCCCCTCATACTTCTCCAGCATCCATAATTGTTGTACTAGGGAATATCCCAAGGTATTATCCCTGGCCCAGTCCTGTTAGTACCCAGGCTCCCCATGAATGCGTCTAATCCCCTTCTGAACTGGCTGATACTGCCCACTTCACAACCACATGTATCAATAAGCTCCAGAGGCTTAAACCCCATGTGTTTCTTGTATTGCACAATTTAGTAAACAATTCCACATCCAGCTTATTCAGTGTTTTTCTGATTTTGTAAACCTTAATTACATATACACCTCAGTCTCCTTCTCTTCAAACTGAAGCATCCCTAACTTCTGAATTTTTCCTTTGAAGGCAGGTACTCTATTTCCTCTTGTGTTAATTCCTCTTCTTTGTATTATATCTAATTCACTAGTTCCTTCTGGAGATGTAGACAGTGAAGTTTTACCCAACATTCAAAAAATGGGCACACTAAGGTTTTGTACAGTTACAAGACATCATTTCTGTCTTACCCTTTCTGGTAATATGGTGATGATGACATATTGCTGGTATTTTTGAAAATAATTTGTGCTGAGACAATGATTTCAGATAACACCAAGGTTGGGCATTCAATCCCTGTATGGGCCATTCCCTTAAGAGTTGGACTCGATGATCCTTGTGGGTCTCTTCCAACTCAGAATATTCTATGAAATCCAGATCCATAAATTTATGGAAATGCCAATGATGACTCCAAGACTTTTTTCCTGCGTTATGATTCAGCTCAATAGTGTGTTTGACCTCTATGTCAAACTATTTATGTTCTTTCTTTGTGGCCTGACAAGCCCAAGTCTGCATGGTCAGATTCCTCTTATTTTTTTAAAGCACAATTATTTAACAGAGGTGACTAGTTACAAATGATAATGAGCAGTTATCTAAAAGGCACAAACATTTCTGTTTCTTCACCTGGCTGAGTGCCCTGCTGCTCCCTCTTTGAAGATAAATAGTTTCTTAATTATTCACTTGTGTGGCCATTTGAAGTTATTAAACTCAGATCACAATTTACACTTGGATCATCTCTGGAGCGTTATATGCTGAAGTACAATCTCAGGGCTTCTCCCTGTATATATATTATTTTGTCCGTGATTTTAGCTGTTCCCTACCAAATTATTGTTGATATTCCCTGGCCACAGCCACAGCTGATGATATACACATGGAAAACCAATAGCTACTTTTAGTCCAAATAATTCTAGATGACTTCTCATGCTGAGACATACAGCTGAGGAGGACAGCAAGCAATGGGATTCAAGAACAACAGTGGGAGAGGCATGGATACCGTAAGCAGATCTGAAAACAGCTAAATCAGCAACACTGGACCTCAGCTTTCTGAGGTTACAATACAAAGCTGTGCGTTGGCAGCTGGAGTGGCTTCCTGCAAAAAGAGATGCAGTGTTTCATTGTCAAGATGGACTTCCTCAAGTTGTAACTTATCACCCTTGTCTGTAAGGCACTGCAAATTTGCTGCAAGTCTATTATATGGAAGCAGCTTCCCCTTTGACACTGTAACCTCATTATGGGCTATATTTTAAATGGGCAGTAAATTTCAAAGATTTTACTTTGACAGTGTAGAGGACAAACAAAGTGGTCTGGGGAGGTAATTTGGATAGCTGGGTACTAAAAGAAATTTGAACAGAGAAGAGAAAGTGTCCTACATTTAAAAAGAAATTAAATCTTTTTTACAACTTTTGTCTCTTCTAGAAGTACCAATTAGCACTTGCAAAAAATTCAAGAGACTTTTTTTAAAAGCAGATGCTGCTCACTTTTTTTTTTTTGAATAAGAGGTAAGATTTTATTAATGCCTCAGGTTGCAAGCAATATGATCAAGATATAGACGTACATTAGTAAATACTATACAGCTAGAGAGAATAAAAGCCATAAACAAGACAAAAATAGACTGCTCTTGAATCAAATGCACACAGCAACTGAACACGCAGTGAGGTACTCTTATGATAGAAAATTTGATG